CATGTGTTTTGACTCTTGATCCTAGTGGTGCATAAATGTATATGTCACTCTTTAATTCTCCATTCAAAAAAGCAGTAGGAATATCTAACTGTCATATTTCCAAGTTCTTTTGCACTGCTATAGACGTTAATAATCTTATTGTAGATATTCTAGCAACTGGTGAATATACTGGATTAAATGGATCCTGCTCCTTTATCTGAAATCCTTTTGCAACAATTCTGGCTTTTTTAATACCGTCTTCCTTTGTCCTAAATACCCATTTTGTCGGAATAGCAGTCTTTTCACCTGGTAAATTTGCTTCTGTCCAAGAATTGAATTTTTCATGAGAATTTAATTCTTTTTCGATAGCTTTTCTCCATTCTTTTATTTTTATCGCATCTTTGTACTCTACTGGTAACTGGACCACTGTGATCTGTAGATATTAAGCAATGCATTGTAGATCTCATAAGCATTTAGATATTTTGGTTTATTAATCCGTCCACCTCTAAAAGTTTCATCCGTTGTTGGTATAGTTTCTTCTAGATTCTCATGACTATCCAGTTCTTCTCCATTACTATCATTTGATTCACTTCCATCTTCATAAACCTCAATCTCAATATTGTTTTCTCCTTCTTCTATACCTAGTTCTTTCTCAATCTGTATTATTATAACTTTTTTGTCATTATTATTTTTATTTTCCAATATATTATTGTAATTTGTCTACTTTTCATTAAACCTAACATCTCTTGAACCAAAAATCATATTCTTCTTATAATCCCATAATCGATATCCTGCTCCGCTATATCCTTATGCCAACTTGGTCATTGGATTGACGGCAAACTATTCACAGTAGATGAGTGTTTGAGCATTCATTTTGTAGGTTATTTCAAGTACTTCGAAATGGTATCGAAGCAGTATGCGAAAAAAACCTACCGGTTTCACGGTATTCACAAAAAACCAAAAACTACCCCCCACTTTTGACCTTTGACCAGCCATTGTGATTCACCTAATCGTCCTATGACCTTGATTTTATCATCATTAGATAGATAATGTTATTTCCCACAAATATGATCTTTCGGACTTGACGGTACGGGCAATAGCACCGAAGATAAGGAATTAAAACGAACTCAATCCTACATAAAGAGGGGGTAGTATCTTCCCCCACCCCCTCGAATACGAAAACTCAGTTTTAGACTCAGGACATGCCCCCGAACACACCCTCAAAATTTCAGCCATTAAGTATTTTTTATTAGTAAAATATCCCTATTTACTGTACTATTGCAGCTCGGGCCGTTACTGTTTTACCAAGGAGCGTGGAGTGGATGACTCTACCTTGAAGCATGCAGTCTATCCATCTACAGCATGTATCATCAATACCTCGTCGGCGTAGAGCTCTCATGATTGTCTCAAAAGAAGTGCTGTGAAACGGTCCCTTTATATCAACTTTCAACATATACCTTCCTTATTTTCCAACATACTTTCTACCCGCTGGACGAGGTGATGTAGTGCTGGTTCAGTTGAGGTTCCTGCTTTGTAAGCATATTGGTACTGATGTATTGGTCTGGTAGACAATGCACCACCCCGAATGTGGAGCTCAAGCAGTTTTTCTAGAGCCTCCAACAAAAATGACATGAGGCTTATGGGTCTCAGAGCTTTGGCATTGTCCAGTCCTATTTTGCCAGGTTTGGGGATAAAAACAACTCTGATTTCTTTCCAGACTTTGGGAATAGATTTAGTCGCAAGTTTGCTCCAAAAATAATCCAGGAGCCTGGAGTATCGCGTGCTGTTGCCTTTTTGAAGTAATACTGAATAAGAACATAGAACTGGATGAACTTCATGGGAATACTCAGGATAATGTAATCATCTCTATTGTCTGGATGTATGTCTTGATGTCTTTTCTTCCCATAAACCCTATGCCTCTATGCCGTCTTTGCTTCACTTCTGAGAGCATTTCTTCCCATCAATTTTTGTACCAAGTTCTACAATGTTTTCCTCTATGACCCAGGTTGTGATTTCACAGCTTTGCGTTACTGCCTTATAAGTGAAAAAGATATATATATTTTTCTTCTTCCATTTGAAACTGCCTAAGACATTATTTGGATTGTAAGTATTTCGCTTTGGAATCGTAACGTTATTTTGAAATTGCAACTTAGAACTGATGTTTGTGACGTTGGTATTTATCCCAACACTATTAAAAAGTATACGCTCCATGATCTCAATTCTAAAATTAAGATTTATTCATGATGTTGATGGTCTGGAAAACAGTATTAAATCACGATTAAAACATTTTTAAGCTTCCAAAGTTATTTATGACTCTACGCGTCAATGGTGCAATGAATACATGAAATATGTGACAAGTTGGCCGATGGCTGCTTATGGATAAGTAATGGACTGTTGCGGATCCATTATAATAAATCATGTATAGATATTATACGAGCTGCAGCGTGAATAATAATAAAATCATGATAGAGGAAAAATTATTCTCTATTTATACTAAACACCCTGTTTGCATTGGCATTTATTGAATTAATGTACCTACTATGACACGCCCGCTTGCCAGTAATTGTTATTGTTTACCGTTGTCGCAATGGGATTTGAATTTTAATTGCTTAAAATTATTTTATGCAAATAATGATTTGGCCGCAGTTTATTTCATCGTTTTACTAACAAATTTTCCTATTTTTTAGCAACGATTTTTGAATACACAGAAAAATTTCCAAAAAAGATATATTGGAAACCTTTTTAGTTTGGCGAAAAACATTGCTTTTTATTTCAAAGGGCAACAAATTTGTAGCAGAACAGAACATTGCAAAGGCCCGATATTCCCTTGGGGTGTGTACGAACAGTAACAAATCGTGTCCCAACACGGAAAAGGGTGGACACTATATCAAGTAGGAATTTATTAGTGCGTGACGGTCTGAATGACTGAAGAATGCCTTGTGAATCAACTACAATTAAAATGACCAAAGTTACCTTTGAAAAAGTCTTAGCCTATATCTCTCTGCAACATGCAAATTTTAAATTCAAAACATAAGCACCTTACAGCGATAGATTTAGATAACATCAAATTCTATAGCCTATGCCAAGGCGAGGAATTTTGTAATTTCTCTACATTAACTTATAACGAAATTTATAGGTAATCTCCGATAGCAGATTATGCTTTACTATAATCTGTTTCCATAAATAGTAACAATCTCGTGTAGTTCAGTATTTATAGTTTATAATATGAATTCAACTGCCAACTTTTAGAATCGACCTGAAAGAGGCAAGCACGAAAGCATTACAAATTCCGTCTAAAATTTCAAAACTTAGGCTAGAAAATACTTCTCTTGAAGCTTTGTTAAAATATGCATCTCTATTTTAGGCACGCGAGTAATTTTATGAACAAAAAAAATTAATTTTTATTAAAGCACCGGATAATATCAAATAATTTTGCTATTGTTCATCAAAATACTGAATGCTGTATAAAGCTACAAGCTGGTACTAATTACCGATTAGTTTCTATGGAAGCATTGTTTTGAGTTAATCATTATTGGTAAATTTCAATAATAAACTACCACACTGAACAAAATAAAATATATTCTATCAGGAAAATAAATATAGCTTTAATTGACCATTTCCTTAGTTTTTCAATTTAGTACCTTGGGTATATAAATTTATGTAGCGTATCTAGCAAATTGGCTTCCGGAAATTCCTAGCGACAAATCCCTAATAATATTAGGACGTCGCTTACAATCAAATTTGTTTGGTCTGATTAAATATACATGCAAATCGGGATTAGAGCCCATATTTAATCAAGGAAACATCTAATCAACCTGAGCTTGTTTTATGACATAGAAGAAGCACCAATTTATTATTTCAGTTTAACGTAGTTTTGTAAGGATAGGTTTTAGTTGGTAGTATTATGAAATATTCCTACAGATTATTATTATTTTTTAAAATAATAATTATAATTTGCTGCTTTAAAACTAAATCAAAAATTTTCTTCAGCGCGAAAAAGCCGTTAGTGGAAAATTGCGAGATTGCCATTTAATCCCGAGGGCTAATTCTGTTAACCTTTTCCTCCGGCTTCTGGTTTATTTTTAGAGTTGAAGTCATAATCTTAAAGTTTAACGGCAAATAGGGGGATCAGGGGGTGGACAGTGAAATAGTTAGAGCTATAAATTTTAGTGCTTTTTGAAATACTCAAACTAATTGCGAATATTTTACTGGCGCAATTGAAGTTATTCAATCCATAATGCAATAGTATATCATTATAATCATTTACAAAATTCTAGAGCAGAACACCCTCCAGCGGTCCTAATTAGTTAATTGAATAATTTAATAGGAAATGTAATTAGTAATTATCAATGAAAGCGCTTTTGGCAATTCCAGGTTACATCGAATAAAATAAATAGAAAAATTGCTACACAACCGAAAAATGGAAATTCCAAAATTGGATGCCATAAAACTAAAATGCCCTATTTCAGTCTGTTCTACGTATTCTCATTATTTCAAAGCCAATTCTAGAAAACAACATCATATTTATGTTTTCTTATGTTTTAAAGTTTGCAAAGATTTATGTGCTCATTAAATTTATGGAGCTCGTATACCACTACTTGGCAAATGGAAGGCCGTAAATAAGGTTGGGCAATATCTGATCAAAATAATACTTTCAAGGAAAAATGCTTATTGTACCGGGTGCCACCTTTTGAAATAAAAATTGGTTTAATTTAAAATGAGAAAACTCTGAGCTTGTATCCCTTTGTATATTCTCTTACAAAGTTGACGAAAGATGTTTCGGTTTAAGACAACAAAGCATTGTTTTGCTTAGACAATTCATTTAACGTTTCAGCCAACACCATTAGCGGTAAAAGGGGATAATTTAGCAACCCTAGTAAAGTGGCTTTTGGGACGTCCAAATGTCATCCATTGTCCCAAACAAATTAGTCAATTTTTTGACTTAAACTCATTTAGCATAAATGAATAGGGGCCTATTTTGAAATAGGGTTTATTAAGTGGATTAACTGAAAACTACTTACACAAAACATGTAGGAATATTTGTTGTTTAACATCCTCGCCAACTCCATTACTAGCCACACACTGATAAATCCCAGCCTGATGTCTATCAACTTTATCCAAAACCAACGTCGGTGTAGTAACTGTCTGTTCACCACCAGGAAGTATATTGTTTTTCCTGGACCACGTAACTTTTGGCACCGGATTCCCTGACGCTTTGCATTCCAGACGCACGGACGCGCCCTTTTTCACCTCGACGCGTCCATTAGACGTCACGGTGGAAATTCGTGGTGGCACTGCAAGAACAAACAAAAATAAGTAAGAAAAATGTGAGAAACGAACCGGTAAACGTTTGCTTATTCTTCACAATAAGACGACAATTATAAATACTTTGAAATAGTATATTACAATCCGAGACGGTAAATTAGCTATTTAGCTATTACTGTCGAGAGATTTTATAGTTTATGAAATATATCACGCGACAGTAATTCAATTTCCTGTCGAGCATAGTATACTATTTTATTTTTAAACATAATTTTTTGCCAATTTAAATTAGAAATTAAATTGAATGTGAATGTAGCTTCATGCTATTTGTTTAAATTTTTTGTCATTGTCATCAATTTTGAAAAAAAAAAAAAAAACTTGACAATACCTGCCACATAATAGCTATTTATGTACCAAGGGGATTATGTAGATTATAATGCCCGAAGGCGAAACTAGCCCGAGGGCCTTTGGCCCGAGGGATATATTTCGCCTGAAGGGCATTATAATCTTAAAATCCCTGTGGTGCATACAATGCTTTATTTTCTACTCAACACAATGTTCTTTCATCAATTTATTATTAACAAAATCAGTTAAATTTCTGTGACAGAATATTGTTTTGTATTTTGACATGTACCTGTACCTGTGACCTGTACCTAAAAACGAAATAAATTAACATATCTATAAATATCTCATAAGGCAAGGTAACGGTGGTGGTCGTGTGGGTTAACGCGCTGGACTACATGGGAAACGTTGATGGTAGACCGGGTTCGAATCCTGGCTAGAACGAAAATTATTTTCGGTCAGACATCTGCCTAGGGTAAAGTGCAAATTAATGAAACCACAACAACAAAAACACCTCAGGGTATTATAAGCAGGCGTTATAGATCATAACGCCCGCAAAAGCGGGCGTTATGGATGAGGTTGTTAAAGGTATGTTAACGTATTTCGTTTCCTAGGTATTATGGATCTATAATAGTTAAGTAGAAAATAAATTTAATGAAATGAGGACGGAAAGCGAGGACGGGAAATGAGGACAGGAAATGGAGCAGGGAAATGAAAAGATAGTAAAGTAACATTTTCAAATTTTTAATAAGTCTGTTATGTCAACATTACATATGTACAGGGTGTTCATTTTAAAACTTACCACCTCTATTACCTCGGAGTTGAAAATTTTCTAAAAATCCCCGAAATACGTCAACCATAATTTGAAGGGGGATGAGTGTTTATGCAAAATTCACCTCCTCCCTTCCTTCCCCCTAGCCCCCAGAGCCACCACCTAGAAAATCTTAAATGGGAAGGGGGGTCAAGTGATACATACATCATTTTGGAGGTTTTTTAATTCCATACATTTTGGTACTAAATTTTAATACCTAAGTTCAACTGTTTTGGAAATATCGAAAGTTAAAAATTGATTTTTTTGCAATAGGCTGTAAAACCTAAACGGTTAATTTTAGGGGAAAACCGATCTCACATTCTTGTCTTAGATTTTGATAAACTATCATTTGACACCAACTTTAAATTTAACCGGAGATTAAATTTAATTGGAATTTTTAATCATGGATTAAATTCGAAGTTCGTGTCAAATGATATCTATCTAAGAAAAGAATGTGAGATCGGTTTTCCTCTAAAATTAACCGTTTAGGTTTTACAGCTTGTCAAAGTTGCTTGTCAATTTTCAACTGTGAATATTTCCAAAACATTTAAACTTAGGTATTAAAATTAAGTATCAGAATGTACATATGGAATTAAAAACCCTCCAAAAGATCTATCACTTGATCCCACTTCCCATTTAAGATTTTGTAGGCTCTGGGGGCTCGGGGGTTTACAGAGGAAAGTGAATTTTTGCATAAAAACACCCTCCCTCAAATTATAGTTGACTTGTTTCAGGGATTTTTTCGAAAACTTTTCAACTCCGAAATAATAGGGGTTTTAAAATGAACACCCTGTATATGGTTAAAAACAAAGATATCAGTTTGTCTCGATTTTCAGAAAATGTGCTTCATAAAATTGAAACAGCTTTTCATTATATGTACCTATGTACTTGTTTTTTCTAGTTTTGCACCTATAGCCACTCTCAACCAATGTTTATCAACTGAAATAGTAGGTAGTTAAATTCACGATCGAGTTTGAATTTTGATCGTTATTTTCACTCAACTTATTTTCTGTCAACTATCAAATAATGATACATGGCATTTAGATTTGACATATAAAAATATCATGGCGTTTCCGATTGGTAGATCTAGAGTGGAACTAGTGCAATTTTTTTTATCCGTCTCTTTTTCTTCTACATGTCGATTAAAAAGATGCAAATACACTTAGTGCGCATTGAATCTACCAATCGGAAACGCCATCGCAGATTCGGATCTTTGAATTTTGAATTTCGAATTTTTGTGTGAAATCACTTCAGTTTTTGCCGTTTTCTGCAATATTTTTTGATATTTTGTTATATTCGCAATCGGTTTTTTGGTTTTTTATGTAGTGTTCTGTGCCTGACATTAATTAGTTAGTACGATCTGACATACGGGGAAAAAAAAGCTATTCGCAGCCTGAATACAGACAAGAACATGAAGTTAGAATTTGTCAAAGATTGTCGTTTGTTTACTTTTTCATTTGTGCATTTTTTAGTAAAAAAGACAAAGAAAAAAAGTACTGAAAGGTGCGGGTCAGTAGAGCTGATTGCAACCTTGAAGTTATACTAAAATCTATTAAGATAATAGAGAGTTATTGGAACTAATAAATACTGCCTCGCAGATCTACGTTATTTTATTAGTCCATCAGCACTATTTTTCCAAGAAAAAAACAGTTATTGGAAGTCTGTAGTAGGTACTATAGTCCAAGAGCCCAGAGCCGCCAGACACAACTTATTTTCTAAAGGACAGAATATGTGGGATTGTGTAGCACTTATATGTACTATGAACGTAAGGTCCGTTTCACCAGGGTTCATACTTGACCTTGAAACTTGAAAAAAAGGGTTGTCGTAGATTAATTCATATGACACATTCAATTTTTTGACAAATAAAAATGAATGACTTTTGGTTTAAGAACCGACGAACCTTTTTGACGTCATTGATTTGTTTCAGTCAATTTTTATTTGTTAAACAAGGAAGGCAAATGCTGGTGGCAAGTACAAACCCTGGCGAAACAAACTTTATGTATATTCGCTAAGTTGGGTAGACGGCCAATTAACCGACACCAGGTGCGAAAGCTTAAAAAGTACTTTAACTTTTTTCTAACGCTTGATTTTTATACATGTTATTGGGGAGACTATTTCATAACTACGTGTGCTCAGCCAGACCAATCGCACCGGCCAAACATCCCCCCAGACGTAATAATAGTTTTTCCGTGAGTGTGAGCGCGAGGGTACTATGCATGCGTTTGAGAGTGAGCGAGATATCTATTTCCCCCTCTTAAACTTACAGTCTACTCCAGGCTAGAGTAGAAATGGGATTAGGTTTTTCCCATTATGGGAAAAACCGTTATTTACAAATAACAGTCAACTGGCCGTCTACCCAACTTAACGAGTATACATACGTTCATAGTACCTATAAGTGCTACTCAATCCCACATATTCTGTCCTTTAGAAAATAAGCTGTGTCTGGCGGCTCTGGGCTCTTGAACTAGGTACTAGATTATTACCTTATTTTGTATTCATAATTTTGACAGCTGATAGCTATGTTTATAAATTTCAACCTCAAAAAGTGTTTATTTTTGTTTGTGATTTTCTGCTGATACTCATTTTTTGATGTTACCCACAGTAAAATGGAAAACTATTGTATAAAATAAATTTTCTAAGTAAAATTACGTCATTGTCAAAAAGCAAAACATTAAAGTCGTCCAAAATGTCAGAAATTTGAAATAAGGGAAGCTTACTGCCTCGCACTAACCAGACACAAATAAAGACAAGCAGTAACCTTATCAAGGGAATTCTTATTTTTGGACCCAAATGCGCATGCCTAGATGTCAAAATAAAGTTAATTTAAATATTGCTTATCCTTATTGCACGTCCAATAACTCTCTAATTATTACACCGTTAACAGTATTTCTAAAGAAAGTCGAAAGTGAGGTTAAACGTGCCTGCTATGTATTGCACAAAGTGTTAAAACGGAGAACAAACGTATCTTCTGTGATTGCTGCAAAGTGGCCTTTCACCTGTCTGAAACCTGTGCAGAGCTTTCGGGATCAGAAATCAAAGCTGCGGTGCTTCAGAAGAGGTCTCTTATGTTCCTTTGTTTGGAATGTCGTGATACTTTTAAATCTGCTCCTATGGTAATTAGGAAGGTCAACATGTAGAACTGTCAAAACCTGTCATTTGTTTTGGTAGAAAAAAAACACTCTAATCTGATTCTTTCTCGTTTTAGGGTAGTTTATTGGTGATAAAACATTGAACAAAGTTCATGCACGTCACATTTTGGCAGGTGTCAGAATCTGTCAATAGCTTTAATTCAAAAGAGAATCAAATCTAGTTCTTTTCCAATTTAAGTTAGGCTTATTTATGATAACGCATGAGAAAACATTATAGGTAGGTACGCAGGTTTTAGATTTTGACAGAGATGTCATTTTTTTTTTTTTTTTAATTTTTGAATTCAGAATTTACATACAAGGTTAAAATATCAAATGACATCATAAAATATTGAAAACTGGAAAAGATGAGTGTTGCCGTTTGGCAAGGTTTTGACAGCTGTCAAAATGGTTGACATTTTTCGACATAACTTGGTCGACTTAGCGGAAAGAGATTTTTTGTTCATCAAAATCTGCCATAGTTACTCTGATTTTGAATATAAGATTCCAATATTTGACAGCTAACCACGCCTCACCTTTCATATATACAGGGTTGTTCATGGTAAAAAATGTTGCTTACGGCATCCCCAATAACATATTTACATTTCATCCAAATATCACGGGTAACCAATTTCTATTTAAATATTGCGGGTCCTTTGTTTGAACAATATTTTGAGACTACACTCCTAGCAACCTAGATATAGATTCAATAGTTTGTCATAATACACCAATAAATCATTCAGAACATTTTGAT